AAAAAAAAAAAAAAAAACAACTCCGTAAAAGTTATACGGCCTTTGAAACGGATTCCATATAAAACGCGCAACCCGTGAAAACCTTGGCCGCCGTTCCGGCGAGAAACGATCGCCCCGTATGCCAAGACGAAACTCGTATTATCCGTGTACATTATTATTACGCGCATAATAAAATAATAATAATAACAATTATGTTCTCGCGGTCGTCGTCGTCGGTCTGGTCGCGACGGAAACCCGAAAACGATATCTCCGCGGCCGCCGCCGAGACGTATCCAATTAAAATTTAGCCGGCAGGAAAAGTGTGTCTTCCTCCTCCTCCGCATCATCCGTCTCCTTTTTCTATCGCCGCCGACGCCTCCGGACAAACGACGACGTCCGACGTTCATCCGGATCCATTTACCGAGTCGACTGCGCTCGCGCACACACTAATAATAATAATAATGATAATGATAATAATGATAATGATAATAGTATTATTATTAACTTGTCAGCAGCGCACGATGAGCCGACCCGCCGACCGCCTCTCTTTATTCGAAACCGACCAAAGCGGCCGTAATACGTAAATCGCGCGATGGCGTTCGGTCTCGTTGCGATTTCGATACGGTAAATCGTTCGCCGCGACGACGGCCGACCAATGAAAAATCCGTACTGTTGCCGCAGCGCGACAATCCCGAAAATACGGTTTTCAAACAAACCGTGACCGCTATCACTCGTAGTATCGATAGTAACAAATCGAATCGATTACGGCGCGGCGTTGGGGCGCGAAAAAAAAAAACATACGCCCCACGTCCGTGTATTATCGGGTGGGGGCAAGAGGGGAACGCGCCCTCTCCGTCATCGAGCAATTAAGTATCCGAACAAAATCATGTACGCTTCGAGTCCATCGAAATAAACGTAAAACAGGTATACTATACTATGATTCGTATACGGTCACCGTTATTGTTTAAAACAAAAAAAATCGCCATATAAACACGCTATGAACATGTTTTGGAATTTCAGTTTCACGTTGTGTCCCGCGTCCGCGAAATTACCTTACGGGCACACTTTCCGACGAATTGTCGTCAATTTCGAACAGTTTAGTGCCACTAGATTTCGCGATAAGCGGCTGATCTACGCGGAAGGGGGAGGGGAATGTTCCGAAGACACTCTTTGATCCGGTATACTCGCCGGACTAGATTTGTATCATATAAACGTGTGCCATCTCCGGTTGTGACATCAGTGCACATCAGTGCACATCAGGGCGCGTCCTGCAGGATTTTGTTTTGAGGGTGGTTTTAGTTTTTTAACGTCAGTATCAAATGTACCGCTATACACTATTAAAATAATTAGGTAAAAATCTGTATAAGTGTGTATGCGTAAAAAACCGTAATCATTTTATATTGCTGTTAAACGTTATGCAAACGCATTTTAAGGGTTGACACTTTATACATATACGACTGTAAATAATAATAAAATATTGGCACGTTTCAAGTGTACAGAATAATAATAAAACAAAAAATGTTTAGAAATCGGTGTTTTTCATTGTTTCTACTAATTATACGTAGTACGGATAAAAAATAATAATTATAATAATAACTTATATTCAGAGTTAAAACCAATTACAAAATGAAGTCCATCCCGTTTGAAGACGAAGCGAATTTCCGAACTCCTTTATCTGTGTCTACCGGTATAATTTCATTGACATAAGAAAGTGATCCAGCGGGTCGGTTTTCACCGGTAGTTGATCTCGAGTGCCCAATGTTTTTAATGCGTCGTACACTCGAAAAAGGTCGTTACGCAGTCGCAGTCGATAACACGGAAGAGTAATTATAATATTTCAAGCGTTGTTGTTTTATAGAAAAAAACAAAAAAAATTAAGTTAAAAATTGATAAAGTCAATTTCGGGAGTGGTACGAACTCCCGAAACCGCTTACCGGACACGCCTCTGAGCGAGAAAAAAACAAAAAAAAAAAAAAAAAACGGTCGTTCCGAAAATTTACAGCCGTGTTATTTCGGTATTTTTTTTTTTTTTAAAAAAAGCGCGATTGACGTAATTCAAAAACGACCGTCGTTCACTATCGGTGTCGATTTCGGTCGGGCAATCGTTATCGGGCACTGCGTATCAGTGTGTCGACTGTGTTGCGGTGCACTCGCGTTAACACGATAAACTACGTCCGGGTCGGACGATTGTTTGATAACGACAACGGCAATAACAATGCGGCGATTCCATCGTTATCCAGACCGTAGTACGGACGAACGCGCGAGAAGAAGATACGCGCAATGTGCGGGCACCGCAGACACGAAAACCGAATAACCCGGCGTAACTGTGAGCGGGCGTTTTATTTTAAATACACGGTAATACGCTATAAGGAGCGCAACACACAATGAAAATAATAACGATCATGGCAATAGTAATTTTTATTCGGCGGACAAAACGGACGTGAGCCTCCCATCCCCACCACAATAGTGCAATAAACAAAAAAACACGCGGGTAAAATATATTGTAGAGTAAAAATTAAAATTAATTTGAAAAATCGGCATATGGCGGAATTTCGTTGCATATGGCCAAGGGTGATCTGCCAAGGTACGCCCGTAATGTGTTTTGTTCTTGCATCGTTTAGGTAAAAGGGGAAAAAAATTCAAAACATTTTGTTCGAAATCTGGGTGTAAACTCGCGACTCCTAGGATGACTATACTATAGAGTTATTTAACATAACATCCACGAAATATCACAATTTCAAAAAGCTACGATTTCGAAACTTATTCAGTCGGCTCAAGTCCGACATCTTCACCATTGTTCTTAAATCGGCAATATACGAGTATAATAAAAAAAAAAAATTGAAAAATTCGATTTGTTCCACGTACATTTTTACTCGATTTTTCGTCTTGATTTGATATTAAAAATTAATTTATAAAAAGAAATACTACATTACACTCAAGTTTTTTTTTTTTTACCGCAGAGTAAGACTTAATGAACCTCCTGTTAAATTGTTGAGCATTTCTGTTATGTCTACTAATTTCAACACACATTACATACACAAATAAAAATTACGTAAAAAACTCGCAAAATTAAAATGTCAATAAATAGCTAATTTTTACCACGTATAAAAAAAGGTGAATATAAGTTTTTTGTCTAAAAGTCGAGTTTCTACGAATTTTTTTAACTGACTTACAACAAATAACAATATTGAACAAAATAATAAAAGCATTATTTTTGTAAATTTCCGGTTTTCTTACGTTTTATCATAGTTTTTCCCATATACTAAGAAAATCGCTTGGAAAACTAAAACATGACCACCCGAAAGTATCATCTGGACAATATTTCCTTTTTAATATGGTGCCGCGCGTACGTATCGGGACAAGATTTCTGGTAGAATTTTTGTACAAGGGATAAAAAAAAAAAAAATAAATAAATAATAAGCATCTTTGTAAAACCGATACATTCTTCGCTACACTCAGAATCTAAAAATCTATAAAACCTTATTGAAAAAAAAAAAAAAAAACGCGGGATAAAACTGAAATATTAAAATGTTACCCTCGCGGGAAACGTGCCGTTAGTTAGTCGCAGCAGTTGTATTGTAGACCTGCATAGGACTTATCGCGTACGAAATCACAGGCAAAAACGTTTCTTATTATTGTTTTTTTTTTTTTTTTTTTTTTTTTTTTTCGACAGACGCGCAGCGCAGCGTTTCATATACCGTGTATACGGACGTGACGCGCGCGCCGGACTTTTAAAAACTTTTAAAGTTTTCCGGCCATTACCGCGCGACGGCGGCCCGACAACGAAATGAAATAACGACGTTTCCGTACTCTCCCTCCCCGTCTCTCCTCTCTCACATTCCCACTTGACAGTTGTTGGAAGCCCAAAAGTTTTTTTTTCTTTTTTTTTTTTTCGACAGACGCGCAGCGCAGCGTTTCGTCCGGTCCAACACATTATATTCGGCCGGACCGTACGGAAAAAAACAATAACAGTGTCCGAGCGTATTATCATCAGATACATTAACGAAATTCGACAGCACGTTTTACGAGTAGAACGATAAAAAAAAAAAAAAAAAAAAAATCACTGGGCTTCCAAAAACATCACGTGGATTTCGGTCGGTTCATACCGGTCCCGGCCCGAATTAAATTGAGTCGACGGTTCGGTTCGACCCGGGTACTTATTGCGAATGCGCTGTCAGGCCCGCGCGGTCTATAAAATAACGGACCGCCGATGGCAGTCGCGATAATTTTTCCGTCCACCTCGCGGTTGTCGAACGGTCGGGTCGCGATGGGACCGCACCGATCCTAAAATCGACTGATCCGCCTGCCACGTGGATTTTACCGTTCCGAAAAGTACTCTACGCTACCGAACAATCCGCCAGGGATAATAGTAATCAGCCCGTTGACAAACTCAATGTACAATAATAAACAACCGTGGACAAACCCGTGTCGCGGCATCCCGCGACATTTATTGTTCGGAGTTTTCGACCGTTCTTGTACTAGTTTCGAAATGTCTGAAATTATTGCTCCGTTTCCGAACAAGTCCGGATTCGTTCGTTTTCAACAACCGTGGAGTGTAGTCGAAATCCCCTGTACCATACCGAACGGAACGGACTTTCATTTAAAACGCGCCACGCGCATTGTTTCAATTCGATCGTCCGCACGGGTACGATACTGGTCGTATTGTTTCCTCCGCGATAGCGCCAAAGACGAAATAACGTTTTTCCACTGTACTCGAATGTACTCGTACGGCTTCACTGAAATAAAAAGAAACGAAATTCAGAAAAAACACAAGGTCGGTTAAAACGCCGCCACCGCCGCCGCCGCCTCGCTCGTACGTTCATCCGCGTGAATTATTTTAGTTTCGGCCCGATCGGTATCTCTAGCCCGACGACCGAACCGTGTGTTCATGCGGTTAGGGCAGGTCGCGTTCACAAACTTTGCGTAATAACGATTATGTTATTATCGTTTTGGCACCCGGCCGAGCAAAATAGGTATGATATTATAACGCCCACCGCCGTGATAATATCCGTGAAAAATGACGCCGACCGTTTCGACACTTTAAAAAAAAGAAAAAAAAAATCCGTGAAAAGCTGATACTGTCGACGGGTTTGCCGCCGTTTACGGCGGGAAGTGGGGATGACGGGGCGCGCGGTGTTATGTTTAACGTCGTTGTTTTATATCCGGACGCGACGGATCGCTCGTTGGTCGCGTAAAACAACACTCGAGACGAGTCCGTTCAAAACTGATTCGGCACAGATAGAGAGATTCGATACAGATCGATTACAAAAAGCACCCGTTGCGTACAAATAGAAATATTTCATTAATTTAAAAATGTAATTGTTGATTTAAAAAGACATCCTAGGATAATTGGGACGCGTGCAGCCACTGTTATGGGTAATTTAATGCATGTCTGTAAGCGACGATAAACCATTGCTAACGAAAAACGATTCTGACCGGAGTCCAGTTGATAGTGACGCTTTGTCAACAATATATAAATATATCATATAACAGTAAAATAATTAAATAGGCTTTATGCATTTTCTTTAACAATATTTGTTTAATGTTTTTTACGGTTCTCATTTCCTCCCCCCCTCCCCGGTTTTTCAAATTTGTTAGGAACACTCTTGGGAAAAACGAAAAATGACCTCATCAAAGTACCTCACCAGTTAAATTTCCTTTTAGAAACATTGCTGTCATTATTAATCGGAATCAAATTGCTTGTAGAAAAGTTGCGTGCAGATAAAAAAAAAAAAAAAATATAAAAAAATAAACATCTTTGTAAAACCATAATAGCTTCTTCGTTCCGCTCACTAAAAAACCACAGTAAAACCGATAAATTCCCCGTTACGATCGGAATCTAAATGCATAGAAACCTATACCGTTTTCTATATTTTTACAACTGTAAATTGTATTGTGTTTTATCTTATCGAAATAAACGAGTCATCTGATACGTTATCTAAAATGAATAATCGAATTGGCGTGGATTAATAAATTATAGTTATCGACACACGCAACGTTTATACGAAATTTAGACGTACACCGAGACTGGCGGCTTCGCCTTTTCCGGCGCGTAGTTCTACGACGTAGGTGCTAACGGACTAACAGACGAGATTATCTTGTATTTATTTTTATCTTTACCCTTAAATTGTTACGCGTATCTATTATGTTCGTTTGTTGTTAACTATACAGCGATTGTGTAGGTGTTTTGAAAATTTGTTTTTGGACACCGGCCGTTACGAACGAGCGTCTCAATGAAATCGTTCGAAACCGTTTGCATAATGCGTTTGAAATCTCGATTGACCGTACGAACAATAACAATCTAATGGCGACAATGAGTTAATTTACACGCGCGGTATATCGCAAATAACGAATATATTGTATCCGGGTCGAACGTTTTAATTAATATTATTATAACGACAGAATAATAATAACATAATGATGAAAAAAAAAAAAAAAAAAAAAAAAAATTAAAAATTCGTATATATCAATGTATAGTAATAATAATCGTTTGAAAAAATAATACGTTTGGATTATATTTTTGTTTTATGCGTATAATCGTATAATCGATAACAAAAAAAAAAAAAACCAACCTAAAGGGTTTATTCATTGTATTCATTTCGACGGTACTTTTATTTTTTTTTTTATTTTTTTTTTTTTCAATATACCGACGTTATTAATATTTATTAGCGAGGGTGGCTTATTATTAATGATAATATATCGAATATGACCGGCTATACACAATATTTATTTAATAATATTATTATGTAGATAGAAAGAGGATACCCATGGTAAATAATAATTATAATTAATAATTCGAACGATGTTTAATTACACATATCAGATACGGTCTAACGGCCGTATATCGATTTACGTTTGTTTTTTTTTCGCCCCTCCCCCCACCCTTCACTAACACGTAGACGTGTTAGCCGCAAGACGTTCTTTTGTTTTTTTTTTTTTTGGAGAAAATCGAAAAATGACTTTTGAAAAATAGCTTTCATTATAAATTAGAGCAAAATTACTAGTTGAGAGTCGTACAAAAAAAAAAAAAAAAATTGTAACATTATTTTACTAATACGTTCTTCATGATTTCGTTTTTTCCTCAGTTTTTTTTTTCATTTTCTCACATTTGTCGTAAAAACTCGTGGGAAAATCAAAAAAAAAAAATCCTCCCTTAGATATCTCCCCACACTGATTTTCTTTCAGATAAGGTGCGAATTTAAAAATCAAAACAAGATCTCCGGTATAAATGTATTGTTCACAGAAACAAAAATATTCTCGTCAAATGCTTCTAGCTTCTTCGCTCCACTCAAAATCTCAAAAAATTACAAAACTCGCTAGTAATCGTACTCTGTAAGCTATCGTCTACCGCGGGTTTTTTCGGATCGCATATACACATTCGCCCGGAGGAGGGGACGCGTCTGCTCCCGTGGACTCCAACATTTCAAACATAAATTATAATATCGTTTTATTTTAAGTAGTACTTTTTGACGTTCGATTCGACATTACGCCTCTCCCCGGACACACGTCCTACGGGAGCCCGCGGTCGTTTACGACGGGGGGGGGGGGGGTTTCGCGATTCGACAGAAACCGCTTCGCAGGAGATAAAAAAAAAAACTTCGCGCCGCCACCGCGGCTATCGGATTCAAAGCGGACTTACACAATATTATTTATACGCGTACGTGTTTATCGTGCGCGTGTGCGCGTCAGTGTGTTTTTCACATTCGAACGGTATAGACTGCGGTCTGTAGGTGCCCGGTATATATACTCGTGTATAATACAATACGTAATACAGCGGATTCGAATTTAACCCCCCCCCACCCCCCGTTATTATTATTGTACAGTTCTATCCGAAATAATAATGTACAATATATATGGTGTAAAATTTCATTTTCGCCGTATCGATTTCGCGGTGTATGACACGCGCGCACACACACGCGCGCGTATAGAATAAAAAAAAAAATATATATATATTTATGACTCGCCGCTGGGGGGGGGGAGGGGTGGTGGTCGGGACTCGTGTCGTCACCAACCGTCGCGAAATAATATCGCAGCACTGGAGAAATGCGCGCGGCCGTGGACGAGATATGTATTGCGCTCTATATAATAACGTGTTATGGCCTTTACGCGCGGAGGGGTTAATTTCATCAAGATATTTCTATACAGAAATGACTTATTTTTATACTGCGGTTCGCCGCGCAAAAACTCCGGCAGCGCGGGATAAAACGCAATAAAATAACATCCATACGTTCGTATATTTTATTAAGCTCTATCGCGGCATAATATAACCGGTGTTCGGATTAGATTACTCAAAAAAAAAAAAAAAAAAAAAAAAAACGGAGATCTGTATGCGTTTATTTAAATACTTGTACAACAAAACGAAAATGCTTCAGATAATCCAGATAAGAAAAAAAAAAACGCATTTTTTTTTTTTTTTTCATTATTATTGTTATGGCGCAGAGCTAAGGGTGACCGGGCGAATTCATGGAAACCCGATTAAGAAAATATAACTGAAAATTGTAAAAAATTTAATTTCCTTTCGTGTTTAAAGGTTTGAATAAATTATTAATACGAATTTTACTTTGAGTACTAGACTAAAAAAAACGTGTTTGCGTCATCGTTTCGTAGTATGTAAATTTAACTTAGTCGCACTAAAAATATATCAAACAGGCTAAGAGTCAAATATTTCCATTACAAAACTATTCACGTAATTTAAATTAATTCAAAATTTAATTTGGAATATGACGATATTTTAAAAAATAATTTTTTATAAATAATGTTTTCGTAGATTTGCAAATATTTTTACAGGTATTCAAGACAAATAAAAACGTAATCGATTTTCATAATTGATTTTTATAAATCCGTAAAAATAAATTATCATCCGATGTTATGCAAAATAACGGTTGAGTCAAACAGCGGTAACAATCGGAACATATTCTATGTATTTTATTCGATTACGCATTTTATTTCCGATCCAAATAAATATTTCATTAATTCAGATAATGCAATTTGTTTTATCCCATCTAATCTATTATGTTAAATTAAATCCGTACGCTCCACATTTGAGATCAGGTAAATCTAAATCATTACCTCAAACCGCCAATTGCATTTCTAATGTTAGCAGTCAAGGTCGGCAACAGGTTCAATGTTTCTCACAAAACATTCTCGTCAATGCGGTCTTGCAAAAAGCAAACAATTTGACAAAGTTTACAATTCGTGGTATATGGTGTCTGTTTTCAGTAACACACAAATTACGCCTACGCATATTATGCCTATGCCTATACAAAATTAATTGATTCTCAAGAAAAATGAAATCTATTGGAGCTTTTCCATAACTATGTCCATCGGTTCCAACGGTTCTCCTTCGAGAACATCTGCTCAAACACCAACTGAATTAATCGAACATAATTTTATTTCATTTACAACAGCCTCGGTATATTTTACAAGCTCAAAAACCATTTTTAATAGTCACTTTTAACAGTCGATAGTCATTACAAATGGCCGACACATCTATTAGCCAAAATAGCTGATAAAATAAAAAAGCGTCCTTATTAGTTAATAATAATAAAAAAAAAAAACCTTAGACACTTTCTCTTTAGAACTTTGGATGTATACAACTACTAGAGCTTTACATGAAATTAATATCACGCAAAAACTAGACTAGAAAGAAATGTCAGGTTAAGGTAAGGTTTGAACAAATGTTGGTGTCGTTATTAGTCGACAATTGTTTTCCTTAGACAGTCGATCTGGTTCTCTAGTTTGAGTTGATGTAGTTCTTTAGTTTGAAGTTCTATTTTTTAAAAAAAATATATCTGGTAACTTCGTGAACTACGGTATTTCTACGAGCTATTTCAATAGCATCCGAGATTCCCTCGACACCTCTTTGCTCGACTTGCCATTCGCCCGAAAAACACTGCCCCTCGACCACCTAAATGACACTGCTTGATACATTACGTACATACGTATATCGTATCTGTCTGCGAACGGTCCGCCAATCTATCGCAATTCAATGACTCAGACATTATTTCCCAAAACATTTCGAATTGTAATTATTAATCGTTCGTAATACACAAAATGATTTTCTTATCGTAAAAATACACGCGTGACATACATATTGTACCCATTTATATATAAACTACTGTTTATCGTATGATTCCATTAATATAACAATGAATTATGAACAATCAAATACGCGAATAAAATTCATTGAAACTGCGCGCGTTTAACTTTTCCGAATTCTCAAGAAGAGACCAGTTATAACAGGGGATATTATAAAAAAAGACGTCCTAGGATAATGGGGACGGGTGCAGCCACTGTTGTTATAGGTAATTTAATGTATATCTTTAAACAAAGATAGAGATCATTGCTAACAAAAAAAAAAAAAAAAAAAAAAAGATTCTGAACGGAGTTTAGTTGACGGTCATGGTTTATCAACAATACGTTTGTCATATTATATTAAAATAATCAAATAGGTATTATACAGTTATTTTAATAATATTTGTTTAATATTGTACTCATTTTCCCGTTTTATTTTTTATTTTGCGTTTTTTTCCCAGTTTTTCACATTTACTATAAAAATTATTGGATAAATCACCTTTCTAAAGAACCTCACTACACCGATTTCCTTTCAGAAAAGGGGCTACACATACAAATCGGAGAAAGATTTAAAATCGTGAGCTTCTTCACTCCACTCAGAAACTAAAATTGAGAAATTAGATTTTTCATATAAATTTCACTCAATAGATTTTCATATAAATTATATATTAAAACGAATTAATAAAAAAAAATAGTACAACTAAATTTTTTTTTTTTGACCACAAAGTAACACTTTTAATTGAACCCTTCCGTTACATTTTCACGCATTTCAGTTATGTGTTACAATTCTATCGCACAGTACCTACTAAATAAAAATTACGTATAAAACTCGCAACATGTAAATAAATATGTCTATTATAAAAGCAGCTCGAAAATGGATTCAATTTTTTGATAATTTCACCACGTCTGGAAAAGGTAAACATAGGTTTTATGTCCGCATTTCAAATCCATAGAATCGATTCGAATATTTCTAGCTGAATCACAAACAAATGACAAAATCGAACGAATAATAAATGCATATTTTCGTGCTTTCGTTTCAAAGCATTTCGTGAACTTACCGTTTTTTTTTTCCATTTTTTCCGTTTTATTGGGAAAACCGCCGGAAAAATCAAAATACGACCTCTCTCGAGTATCACCCCGAGAAAATTTCCTTTCGGGAAAGTGTCTCCGGTGTCTACGTCGCATACGTCGGATATGTGACAAAACCGTTATGCTATATATACTCTTGGCCACTGTTACTACCGCCACGCTCGGAATCCAATGAAAATTACGCGTGGTTGTAAAACCGATACGTGCCGCGTCGCGCCCCGGAGCCGACGCGCACACCCGAAAACGACGAGGTTTTGTCCACGGCGAGCGGCGAACGCGTTTGTCCGCGCGGCGATATTTAGAGACGTCACGAATTTCGATACTCGCGCGACGCGCGGACGGTACGAAATCCGTGCCGCGCGCGCGGGTTACGGGTACAGACCCCGTACCGGTGGAGGGGGAGGGGGGGTGGTACGACGAAGTGTCGTCGGCGGTGACGGCGCGTTTATTCTATCAGTACACGGTTTCATCGTTATTACGATACGCCGTACAGGGTCCGTTTGTTTATCTCTGCCGGGGGGTTTTTTTTTATTCTTCTCTTCTCTCTCCGTTTGCTCTCTCTCCACTAGTTTTACTAATACGGTCCCCGGGCCCCGGGAAAAGTCGGAGGCCCGGCGCGCGCGGTGCGACACGGACAGGGACGACGGGAGGAGGCGAGACGGCCCGGCGGCGAGACTGCCAGCCGCACCGCGCCGCTGTTTTCGGATTATCGACTCGTATATATACGATAATACTATAATGGCGGGGGGTCAAATCGTTTAGGTTTAAAAAATCGTTTTTTAATATTTCGCGGCTGCGGCGCGTATACCGCGCGGGAGAGCTCGTTTCTGGTAAAGGTCTAAAAATTGAATTATCGTTTCCGGCGCAGACGGTTATGGCTGCCATTAGCAGACCGACGAACGTTTAGTATATTATTATTATTATTATTATATATATATAATACGGGATCGCCCGGAAAAAGCGTTATGAGGGAGTATTTTTCGGTGGCGCGCGCGCCAGCCGTTCAATCGCATAATATTATTATTATTATTATTATACTGTAAGGTCTATAACGACGAACGAATATTGCGTATTCGCGAGAGGAAAAAAAAGCAAAAAACGGCTCGCCGCCGTAAACGGTTTACCGGTGCCGGGTTACCGAAAAATATTGTTGAAAAAAAAAAAAAAAAAACCACACACGCGCCCGGGAAAACGATCGGAACCCGAGACCCGCGGGGCGCGGGGACGTTTTTGGCCGAGCGGTTCTCGCGGTCGTGCGAAAAACGATATTCCGCTCGCGGGCCGCACGACAAAAACGGTAAAAACGATCGGACCGGCAGATTTCGCAACAACATTTACCGTACGAACCGGACATTTCTCCCGGGCGTGACGACAGGTGCGTGTCCGAAAGTCGACGGGGATGGTTCCGCGGTCGATCTGCTCGTGGAGACATTTAATGGGAGTGGGTGCGGGCGCTAAGAAAATGCCCGGCTACGACCACGGTCAACCGATAAATAATCGTTCAAAAGCCGCGAATTATTATATTTTATTTTTTAAAAGCCCATCGTTCTAAACGTATACGTACAAAGTCCGAATATAAAAAAAGATTTTTGAAATTTTGAAAAATGAATTTATCATTTTTTTTTTTTTTTTTGTTGTCACTAATTTATCTAAATACGCGGGCATTGGGTAATTAATCAATTTCAACTGTCACTTAATGTTTTATCGTCCGTCAATAAATATCAAGTCGAAAGTAACTATTTTTTTTTTTTTTTTACCCATATATTATTAATTATTATGTACGATATTATTTTTTGAAATTTTCTTTTTATACTTTTAATGCGTCCTGTACGGAGCAATTACGAAAAACCGTGCGGCTGGTTTGTTTATTCAACGCGACATTTTACACCCATATAATATTTAAGCGGTTTTTCTATTGTTTTCAACAATTTAAACGCACTTATTAATTTATTCGAATCTTAAGTGCATTTTAAACGAGTTTTTTTTTTTTTTTTAGGACAATTTTGTTTTTTAAAGTTCTCGTGAATATTTAAAGTAAATACGGTCGGCCGCTGTCGGTATTCCCGAACCGTACGATGATAGGTGATAGTACGAATCGATTTGTCGGCGACATAGGAATGACGCGACGAAAGCGTTTTTTAAAATTTTTTTTCCCCGTCGGATTTTTCAAAAAAAAACAAAACAACTCTCCGTTGCCCCCACCGACCGTCGCGGGACGTGTGTGAACGTCGCCGCGGCTTGGCGGAAACACCGGTTGCACAGGCCCCGCGTTAACGGCCAATCGTAACGCGGCAAGTCGATAACGCAAATAGGTAGATAATAACGTAATGAATATGTTATTTTACACTTACCTATAGAGATACCTAACGGCGTAATAATTATCGGCACGTTAACAACACGGGACGTAAATGACCGGATTCGCGTTTTTCGTTTTTCCCTTTTCCCATTTGTTTTTCATTTTTTCACCCGCACCGGAGTACTTGCCGGTCCGTATGTCGTTTTTCTCGCGTTCCGGACTCTCCCGCCGGATTTCGAGCATTCGGCCGCTATTTTTCGTCACTCCCGTTTATTTTTGTTTTTATTAAACATTCCGTAAATAGACGAAACGTTAGTGTCGAAATTAACTTCGGTGTTGACGGTTTTGAATCCCGTCAATCCGTTGACGAGATATTCCGTTTTTAAGTTTGGCGTCGGCGTACAGTAGTAGAGCAACATTTGTGTGGCGTTAATCAAAATTAATGTAAAATATAAACGTACAAAAAGGCTGTCACAAATCACTATAACGGCGATGTTGAATTTGTTTGACTACGAAATATATTTGACGCTGAGATAATGTGAAATGTGAATAGTAACAACTTTTGCTAATTGCCGCCATTTTTATGCATCTGTGGTTGCCGTTAAACATTTTTTTTGTTACCAACTTAAATCAGCTGCAATAGCTGTAAAAATGTGTTGTTTTTTTTTTTCTACTTAAACATACAAATAAATCAACCGTTCGTGATTTCAGACAGGAATTTATTAATATTCTAATATTTATCAATATTTATTATGGTAACAATTATTCGTCGGCAGTGATCATTTCACATATACACCGGGTCGATAACATCTGAAATCGCGACTGATTAGAATAGTGTAGACTACTAGAGATCGGTGCAACTATACAGTGTTCTGTGGTAATTTATACTGTACGGGTTATTGTGATATTCGGATAGTGTGAACGCGGGACGGGTACCTACGTGAAAAATGAAACGCAGCAGTTATAGTATGGCAATCGCTGTTATTTTCACTGCGATTTATTTTTGTTTTTTTGTTTTTTCGTCGCATTAGCATATTCACAGTGTGATCAATATTTTCCACGGTTTAACGTCACTGGCAGATCGACTAAACGCGTTCGTTTATCGTAAACCGCAGCGCGTTGCCATTACGGTAACGACTGTAGCCATCCGGGACGGTGTGTACCGCCGGGTACATTGAGTATGTTAAGAATGTCCTGTCCGTGTAACGTAATATTATTATACACCGATGCGCTTATCCCGCGATGTTTTTCGTCAACCGGTTCTCAAGGCCTTGTTTGTTCTCGCGGTTATTATTCGTTTTCGGTAGCGTTCGCCCAGCCGGGACGTTTCACGTTAATTTGAAAAAAAAAAAATTAAAAAAAAAAATACCGACGCGGTTGATTATTATTATTCGAAAATTATAATGCGTATCGGATATTACACGGGAAAAAAATCCGGCAGTGGCGATCGTTTCCGACGCGGTCGGAAACTTTTAGGGTGTTTTCAACAGCGGTCGAGACGTTTTTATACATGCGATAGTATTTGGAGCGGGATTGACGTTATTTCACGCGCTCGACGGATTTCTGTAACCGACGTCGTAATTTGAGGTATCGCAGGTTATACTTACGCGTACCTGAAAATCGATGAGACTGCATTTTGATCAGACTTTAAGTTTTTCGGGAAAAAAAAATTGCTAAAAATTATTTATTTGTATAATCGGTCTGAAGCACCTATAATACTATATGGCCGTAAGCCGTAAGACAGTTTTCGTTAACAATTTCTCAGTGAAATATTCTAATAAAATAATTGCTTGCTACAATCTCGATTCGCACAAAGTTAAATTGTATCGCGGTCGCGTGGTTACCCACGTACTTGTTTAATACGAAATAAAAATAACAATTTAAGTAAAAAAAAAAAAAATATTTAAATGGTTATTAATACTCGTTAATACTTTTTACTAAACATAGTAAAGTAAGAGACGCCGGACGGACATACTTCGCACGTGGGTGTGTAGTAATAAAAAAATATAGGGGGGGCCAGCCTAATTGTATAAAATTGATTCACACGTAAAAGTTAATTATAAATTGGATTACGTTTCTCCTTCAGGCGGCAAATGATCTGTCGAATCTGATAAAGGTGACCGAAATAAATAAAAAGATTTTAATGTAACAACTGTTTTTTTTTATTAATTTTTTAAATATAAAACACTGTTCTAGGTTCCCGTGCTTTTGTAAGAATCTCTGCGTAGTCACTTACACTCGCTTGTGATCATCTGTCCAAAAGCAACGGGAACAATACACGCACACTGGGAGTGATTAGAAGTGGCCGGCCTCCTTATAACTGGAGATCTATGTGTGTGTGTGTGTGTGCGTGTGTAAATGCGTTATCTTAATCTGGTTAATACTAACAACTTAATCTAATACTTAATGGCTATAAATTATTATAATTATTTTACAATATTGATTATACATTTCATTTTAACTATATATGCTAGTTTAAGTATCATATCCTTACGACGAGTAAATATCGCGTTAAAATATATGTTATTTGATAAAAAAAAAAAAAAACGGAATTGGACGTATATGTTTAATTTTCGTTCCCGTTATTAATTGTTTGATTTATTTCTTACATTACATAATATTTTATTTTAAATTATGTATGATTGCTTAAATAGCCTATCATTACAGGTGCGGCAACTGTTGTAGTTAGGAAGTTGGTTTTAAAAAAAGATTAAAATAATAAAAACTACGCGATAATAGCAAAAAATGAATAAAAACGGTTGCCAATGATAACCATATGTTTAATCTTTCAATCTTTTTCAAAACCTATAGACCGAGGTTTAGCTCATTATCCCGGATGTCGACGAGAATTTCAAAAAATAACATCTTTAAAGTACCACTCAGAGAACATTTTTTTTTCAGAAAAGGTGCTATACTTGTTAATCAGAGTATGCTTTCTGGTAGAAAATGTGTTCACATAAAAAAAAAAAAAAATAAATAAATAATAATAAACATCGTTGCAAATACAATCCTCGCTCCACTCAACACTGAAATATATAAATAATAAAAAAAAAAAAATGTGTATATAAAAATGAAAAACAAAGTAACAACAACAAATGCGTCAGGTGTATTTTACCTGGAAATTGTTTTGTGTTCGGCTAATCGTCGGCGGCATACCTTTCGGAATACGACGCCGTTGACATACGTTATTTCAGACCCTGATAATAATCAGGGCCCGGGGGGTGTGCGTGCGAGAGGCGCCCACGCACCCGGACACTGTGACCGCAGGGGCGCCGGTAAAAATAATTGTTTAAGACCCGTAATTACGAGTAAACACGTCCGACGGACGGGTTACCGCTTTTCATTTTTTCGTTTTTTTTTCTTATTCTTATCGGTAAATTTTCCTAACGCACCGGGCGCCGATTTTCGCTCGGGCACCGGGCACCGGTCGTTGACGCGGGACGTTTTTCGCGCGCGCCCTCGTACACGCTCCGCGCGGTTTCGGCGCGTGGTTCGGCGCACGCCGCTACAGACTTTTTCGCGAGGAGGGCGCGAGGAGACCCGGCGCCGGAGGCCGTCGGAGTGTCGGCCGCGGTGCAGAGCGCAGCGAGTTCGAACCGTCTATTGTCTGCGGGCGTTTCAAACGCGATTATCCGAACTCCCTTCCGAATTCCCGCCGTATTACCGCGTAAGAATTATTCGTACACGTAACATAAAAGATACGTGCGCGCGCCGTACGCACCGGTTAAAATATGCACAGTAACGATTACGTATGCAACGCAATAATTATTATTATTATTATTAATATGCCTACCGCCGGTAATGTTATTATCGTCTCGCGTTCGACAATGACGACGGCGTACGGGGCGATCGATCTGCCGCGGCGTAAGGCACGGATAGTGTCACGGATTCTTTTCGCGATTCGCTTCACAGGACGTGAACGAAACGAGGGGTTCGACAACGTGTACAATTTGTTTGTTTTTTTTTTTTTTTTTTTTCCGTCACTCTTATATTCGGGGGTCAATTATTCGCTGTACACTTTCGATTCCCGGTCTACGCGTTGACGGGTCCACGCAATTCCGTACACGTAAAAATATCAGTAAAAACGAGTCGATTCCGTGTGTTAAAGTTTTCAATATCCGCCGTCCCGTTAACGGGATGTTCCGCTTTTAAGTTTTAGTAGCGGCGCATTATTAAAATGTCGCGCGCCGTGTGGCCCGTAAATGGTACCGCTACCCGGCCGTCTCACTACCCGGCCCGGACTTAAAAGTGGAACGTCTCGTCAACGGGATGACGGAAATTTTCAGCACCGAAATTTGTTTGAACCGATATATTCCATCTATTTCAGGAATTTTCAATATGGGTTTGAAAATCAAAAGTAGGTAGCGGTTTCGTCCCAGAAAATAAGGGCGACAAAAAAATAGCATACAAGTTAAATCGTGGAGCTGCGAGTTCCTTAGATTTTTTGTAAAACGAATTCCGAATAAAGTTAATACTGACCGGGATAATGTGTGTCTTACGGTAGATCGATCGTCCTGTACACGGGTGTACCATCACTTTAACCTATACATTGCGCCGCTCGTGTTCGCTAAATTTTCCTTTTGCCCGTCGACCGTTTTTTTCTTATTATCTTGTTTGTCTGTCTGTTGGTGTTCGTATATTTTTTTTTTTATAATACCGCGACGTACGAGAGAACCCCGCCTGAAACGAAAAGAAAACAAACAACAAAAAAAAAAAAAAAAATACCGGTCCGAGGCGCTGTTAACGTCTATAATAAAAATAAATAATAAATATCGAAACATTTACACACCGACGCCGCTGCCGTATAGCCATTACGTTTTTTTTTTTTTTTTTTTTTGTTTTTATTAAGTATTCAACGTCCCCGTTTAAATTAAAAATGCAAATATTATAACGTCCGGAAAATTATGTTTAAGGCTTACGAATTGAAGTACTTAAGTACTTTTAAAATTAAAAGCCAAAACTATGTATATTTGCATATATATATACGCGCGTCTCTTATACTATTTCTTCGGTAAAACTCGAGCTCTCGCAGGCAGCAAAACGATTTTCCGTCTTCATTATTATTATTATTTTATTTTTTCTAAATATAAAATGTCGAACAAAGTAAAAGTAATAAAAAACTTAGTTAAGGAGATTAATTTTTAATTACTGTTAGTTCGCTTTTCTATACCTACGTTAACTTATGTAGGTAACGGGAAACCTATAAAAAATGTATAGCTATTTGTTGTAATTGAGTATATATTTTACATAACAACATTATATACCTGTGTATAATATTCGCCGTGATCAGTAGTTTTACGACGGTATAACCTTTTTTTTTTTTTAATTTTATTTTCCTTTAGTCAATATTTGTTTTCCGTTTTTTGTTTTATTTTACTTATATATTAACTAAAGCAATATTTTAATGAAACGGTATAGTAAAATAAAAAAAAAAAAATTCTATCTGCGGGTATTTTATATTTTATACAGGTGTATATACGTTTTAATAACTCTAATTTTTAATTCTTTTGTTCTGACGTTAAACATTTTTTATATTTTTTTTTCCACGATTGTATATGGCTTTGATATTTGTAGCACAAAGAATTTATATTCAACAACAATATTATTATGTGGACTGTATGATATATATGACGTGTAGAATACGATATTTTACTCTCCGACGAACATTGTTACACCGGCAGCTATAAATCGATTACTTTTAGCCGTTAAAAAATATAATATTTTACTTATAGAAATTTGAAAAAAAAAAAAAAAATAATAATAATAATAATAAAAACCGATACGGATATTATAGACGGCGGAAAACGGGTCGTATATCAATCGCGACGTGCGTATACGCGGGCCTATTTTATTACGCCCGTAGTATTTTCCGTACGAATCTTAAAATATACGAACATGTAGTCCGGTAAGTGCAATACAACATATAGAGCCAATAATAATAAAAAAAAAAATTGGTTTTTTGAGAACAGTATCGTTTAGATGACGAATCATTACAGAAACAATACGAATAAGGTTATAAGGTTATCTAGTTTTTGAAAACATTTTAATGTTTGATTATCCTGATCTACTTTCCGAATTAAATTTCCCTATTCCTAGCCGTAGCGCCAGGCAATCAAAGTGCCATTTCAGTCCGCGAACTACAGTCAAAATGCTCCTGTAAATAAACTAATGATATTATTTAATTATAACTATGATGTATGATGTTGATTTTTTAGATTCTGAGTGTAGCAAAGAATGTATTGGTTTTACAAAGACGTTTATTATTATTATTATTAACTTTTATCAGATTATCAAGCAT